AGGGCGCCTGACACCCTTGTCAGGCAAGCCATTGCGGAAACATTACTAAAATTCTTATGTTGCTTCTTAATTAGAAAGAAGTGGAATAAACGCTTAACTTGGAATTTAAAACAGAAGAGCGAAATTCTGTAGTAATATAATTACACAACCCCAAAATAATCGTCTACCAAAGTGTGTGCCAGAACCTGGTGTCACAAGCTACGGGCAACTAGTAGAATATACATCCAAAAGAATATCATACTATCCTACTGTCTGAGTCCAAAGAGACAGAAAATAGAAATACAAAGAAAGACTTCTTCGGCTGCGGGTCGACATGGAGGGAAAGAAGATCACCGTAGAAGTCCCAAGTCCGCTCACGGATACGCACCAGAATGATAACCAGAGCCACCTGCCTCAGATCCTATACATTTAAGTACAGAAGTGTAGTATGAGTACATAAACAATATGTACCCAGTAAGTATCCCGTCTAATCTCGAAGAAGTAGAGACGAGAGGTCGACTTGATACTTACGTCAATTAATATGCGAAGAGTTTACAATAAGCATGGATATCTCAAGCTATTTACATTTAATAATCATGGAGTAACAGTTCTTTCCAAACACTAACAAGAATGCTTGTCTATAGTCTAAGCAAATATGTATCTCCGCCCTTGAAGGATTTCTAAGCAAAGCATATGCAAATAATCACCGTGGAACGTACGGCCCGATCCAACATAAAATAAACTGTGCACTGCCGAGGGTCGAACGGCTCGAACCATAGATGCATCTATTACCCCGCTCGCGAATCACCCATGCGACGCGGTCAAATAAAAAATAAGCTCATTAATAAGCAACATTAACAACTAACATGTATATGAGGAGTAGCCATACTCAGAAATACCAAGTATTCTCCTTTAAAGGACCAAACAGGATAAGGGTCATTCTCTAGTCTCATTCTTCTTACTCAAAATAGTTCATATAAATCCAAATTAATCAACACGTACTAGAATGTCACGTAGAGCATGCTTATGGGTCCTAGACTACCCGGACTTAACATAATAGCCACTACGTACGGACTCTCGTCACCTAGTGGGTACGTAGCCCCCGAATATAATGACAATTAATTCATATTATACCTATGGGGACAATTCCCTCTTACAAGGTTAGAAAGGAGACTCACCTCGCTCCGAAGCGCACTTCCGATATCAAGAACAAGCCCAAACTCTCAATTTAGAGCCGAACGATCACAAACTAGTTAAAATAAATAAGTACTAGTCAGTAAAGGCCTACAAGGCCGAATTCTTACTATTTAAGTAATTTCCCAACCCTTTCCACAAGTTTCCTAAATTCTGACCCCGGGCCCACGTGCCTGAATACCGAGATTTTTCGAAGGAAATTGTTCTCTACAACCTAAGGATCAATAATATATGATTTCTAGCCCATTTCTTAACAAATTTCATGCTTAAATCTTAGTTTTATTAAAGCCCTAGGTCTAGCTCTAACCCTTTGATTTTATCTAATTTTTAGTGTTTAATCTACCTAATATACATGTATTTAAACTAATAATGAGTGGAAATAACTTACCTTGAAATGCTAAGTTGAAACCTTCTCTCAAGAGTCCCCAAATCGCCCCAAGGTTGAGTGTAAAATGATAAAATGGTGTTTGAGTTCGAATTAAATGAAGCCTACTGCCCAGCGATTTCTGCTTCTGCGGTTAGGGGACCGCATCTGCGGTCCCGCACCTGCGAAGAGGGAGCCGCATCTGCAAAACTGGGCAAAAGGGGCTGGACCGCTTCTGCGGTCTGAGGCCCGCATATGCGGAACCGCTTCTGCAGTTTTTGGGCCGCTTCTGCGGCTTGGGCCTAAGGTGGGTGGACCGCTTCTGCGGTCTAGGGGTCGCATAAGCGGAACCGCTTCTGCGGTCTCTGGGCCGCTTCTGCGGTTTCCCTTGGCCTGGCCCCTTTCCGCTTTTGCGATAGATTGACCGCATCTGCGGTCCAAGAACCGTAGATGCGATTATGATAGAAGAAGCAACTGAAAGTTGTTTTCTTAAATTTCCTACTTTTCTCGAACCTCGCTCGTTTGACGCTCGGGGCTCCCGAGCCCCGCCCGAACATACCGGCAAGTCTGAAATCACGAGACGGACCTACTTGCAGCCTCGGAACACTCAAAACAACGCTAAATCTAGGAATCACCCCCTAAAACCAAATGAATCAAACTATTGAACTTCAAGTTCTTAATTCTCCTCTAACGGGTCAAAACGCCCTTAAACTGCCCGGATTGGCACCAAATTTTACGGGCAAGTCTAAACAACATTACGGACCTGTACCAAACTTCAGAACCAAAATCCGAGCCCGATACCTAGGGAATCGATGATTACTTACTTTCTTTAATTCTTTAAAACTTCAATTAAAAAATTTTAAATAAAAATTCATTACTCGGTCTAGGGACCTCGGAATTCGATTCCGGACATACGCCCAGGTCCCATTTTTTCCACGGACCCTCCGAAATTGTCAAATCACGAATCCGGGTCCGTTTTCCCAAAAAATTGACCGAAGTCAAACTTGGTCTTTTAAGAAAATCTTAAAGAAGCAAATGGACATATTTTTGCTCAGAACTCTTCCATTTCCCGAACCAATCGCCCCCCGCAAGTCGTAAATTAGTTAAAGCAAGTACATGAGGCTTTATTTAGGGGAACGGGGTTATAAAAGGCAAAACGACCGGTCGGATCGTTACATTCTCCACCTCTTAAACAAACGTTCGTCCTCGAACGGATATAGAAAGTACCTGGACTGCTGAATAAGTGGGGATATCTGCTCCGCATGTCCTCCTTGGACTCCCTGGTCACCTCCTCGACCGGTTGGCCCCTCCACTGGACTTTTACTACAGAAATCCCCTTGGACCTCAACTGGCGATCCTGTCTGTCAATAATGGCAATCGGCTCTTCCTCATAGCTCAAACTCTCATCTAACTGAATAGTGCTGAAGTCCAACACGTGGGATAGGTCGGTATGATACTTCCGAAGCATTGAAACATGAAAAACTAGGTGAACTCCCGCTAAACTATGGGGTAAAGCAAGCTCATAGGCAACCTCCCCAACTCGTCTCAACACCTCAAAGGGGCCAATAAACCTTGGGCTCAACTTGCCCTTCTTCCCGAACCTCATAATGCCCCTCATGGGCGAGACTTTCAAGAGAACCTTCTCGCTAACCATGAATGATACATCCCGCGCCTTCTGATCCGCGTAGCTCTTTTGTCTGGACTGAGCTGTGCGAAGCCTCTCCTGAATCAACTTTACCTTATCGAAGGCATCCTGTACCAAATCTGTGCCAAGTATCTTGGCCTCACCAGGCTCAAACCACCCGATAGGAGAACGACAACGTCGACCATATAAAGCCTCGTATGGGGCCATCTCTATGCTGGACTGGTAGCTGTTATTGTACGCAAACTCCGCTAAGGGCAAGAACTGATCCCACTGCCCCCCAAAATCAATCACGCATGCTCTAAGCATATCCTCCAAGATCTGCACTGTCCGCTCCGACTGTCCGTCGGTCTGAGGATGGAATGCTGTGCTAAGCTCTACACGAGTCCCCAACTCACCCTGTACGGCTCTCCAGAAATGGGAAGTGAACTAAGGGCCTCTGTCTGATATGATGGACACCGGCACACCATGCAATCGGACTATCTCCCGAATATAAATCTGAGCATACCTCTCTACTGTATAGGTAGTCGCCACTGGAATGAAATGGGCCGACTTGTTCAACCTATCCACAATGACCCACACTGAATCAACCTTCCGCAAAGTCCGCGGTAGCCCGACTACGAAGTCCATGGTGATGCGTTCCCACTTCCATTATGGTATGGGCATCTGCTGAAGTAGGCCACCTGGCCTCTGATGTTCATACTTGATCTGCTGGCAATTCAAACACTTGGTCACATACTTTACTATGTCTTTCTTCATCCCCCGCCACCAGTAATGCTGCCTCAAATCACGATACATCTTCGTAACTCCCAGGTGGATAGAATACCGCGAACTGTGTGCCTCCTCCAGGATCCTCTTCCTCAGACCATCAACATTAGGAACACATAGACGACCCTGGAGTCGCAGAACGCCATCCTCGCCAATAGAAACCTCCTTGGCACTTCCCTGAAGCACCGTCTCTCTGAGAACCGCCAAATGTGGATCATCGAACTGTCGGGCCTTAATCTCCCCCAATAACGAGTACTGAGCAACCACACATGCTAGAACTCGACTGGACTCTGAAATGTCCAACCTCACAAGCCTGTTAGCTAAGGACTGGATGTCCCGAGCTAGGGGCCTCTCCTCTGCTGGAATGAATGCCAAGCTACCCACACTCTCCGCCTTTCTGCTCAAGGCATCCGCGACCACATTCGCCTTTCCCGGATGATAAAGAATGGTAATGTCATAATCCTTTAGCAACTCAAGCCACCTGCGCTGTCTCAAATATAGATCCCTCTGCTTGAACAAATGCTGTAAGCTGCGGTGATCGGTGTAAACCTCACAAGGCACCCCATACAAATAGTGCCTCCATATCTTAAGAGCATGAGCAATCGCTGCCAACTCCAGATCGTGCACAGGGTAATTCTTCTCATGAATCTTCAGCTGACGCGAAGCATATGCAATAACTCGCCCCTCCTGCATCAACACACATCCCAAACCAACGCGTGAAGCGTCACAATATACTGTATACATCCCTGCACCGGAAGGCAACACAAGAACTGGTGCCGTAGTCAGAGCTGTCTTGAGCTTCTGAAAGCTCTCCTCACAATCATCGGACCAATGAAATGGGGCACCCTTCTGGGTCAATCTAGTCGGGGGGGATGCAATAGATGAAAAGCCCTGCACAAATCGCCGGTAATAGCCTGCTAACCCCAGGAAACTCCTGATCTCGATCACTGAAGTGGGACGCGGCCAACTCTGAACTGCCTCAATCTTCTTGGGATCCACCTTAATACCCTCTCCTGACACAACATGCCCCAAGAATGCCACTTACTCAAGCCAAAACTCACACTTGGAGAACTTAGCATATAGTTTCTGTTCTCGCAAGGTCTGAAGCACTACCCTCAAATGCTGCTCGTGCTCCCCCAGGCTACGTGAGTATATCAAGATGTCGTCAATGAAGACGATAACAAAGGAATCAATATAAGGCCTGAATACCCGATTCATCAGATCCATAAATGCTGCTGGAGCATTAGTCAAGCAGAAGGACATCACCAGAAACTCATAGTGGCCATATCTAGTCCTGAATGCAGTCTTCGGAACATCCGAGTCCCGAATCTTCAGCTGATGATACCCTGACCTCAGGTCAATCTTAGAGAACACTCTAGCTCCTTGCAACTGGTCGAACAAATCATCAATACGAGGCAACGGGTACTTGTTCTTGATGGTGACCTTGTTCAACTGGCGGTAATCAATGCACATCCGCATGGTCCCATCCTTCTTCTTCACAAATAGCACTGGTGCGCCCCAAGGTAATACACTGGGCCTGACAAACCCCTTTGCTAACAACTCCTCTAACTGCTCCTTCAGCTCCTTCAACTCCTTAGGATCCATACAGTATGGTGGAATAGATATAGGCTGAGTGCCTGGAGCCAATTCAATACAGAAATCAATATCACGATCCGGAGGCATGCCAGGAAGATCAGAAGGAAAAACATCGGCAAACTCTCAGACTACTGGCACTGAATCAATCGTCGGAGACTCTGCTGTGACGTCTCGAACATAAGCTAGATAGGCCAAACACCCCTTCTCGACCATGTGTCGAGCCTTCAGGAAAGAAATAACCCTGCTAGGCATATCAACTGTGGAACCCTTCCACTCCAATCTCGGCGATCCTGGCATCACTAGTGAAACAGTCTTGGCATGACAATCAAGGACGGCGTGATGTGGGGATAACCAATCCATGCCCAGGATGACCTCAAAATCAATCATATCGAGCAACAGAAGATCAGCTCTAGTCTCGAAACCACAGAAAGTGACCACACAAGACCAGTAGATCCGATCCACAACCACAGAATCACCCACAGGAGTGGACACATGAACAGGAGTGCCCAAAGGCTCCGGAGAAATAACCAGGAAACGAGCAAACAGAGGTGACACATATGAGTAGGTAGACCCTGGATCAAACAATACCGAAGCATCTCTACCACTGACGGAAATAATACCTGTGATGACGGCATATGAGGCCAATGCATCTGGCCTGGCCAGAAGAGCATAGAATCTAGCTGGAGCGCCGGCTGTCTGGCCTCCACCTGACTGGGGAGTAGCTGGCTGACCTCTCCCTGTCTGGCCTCCACCTCTAGGATGGCCTCTACCCGTCTGCCCTCGACCTCTAGGTGGCTGGGCAGCTGGTGCCGGAGTTTGGGGCTGCTGACCCTGCTGTACTGCCTTAGCCCGAAGTCTGGGGCAAGTCCTCTTCAGGTGACCCGGATCTCCACACTCGTAGCACGCTCTAGGCACCATAGCCTGCTGCCCTGAAGTCTGAGTCTGCTGACCCGAATACCCACTGGACGATAGGAACTCTCTGGTATGGCGCTGAAACGAGCACTAGAGGAATCCTGATACCCAAAATACCCGTCGGAGGAACCCTGAGTAGCTGGTTGGCGGTGAGAACCTTCTGGCATCGCACTGTAATAAGGCCTCGCTGGGGCACCTCGGGGAGGGGGTGGTGGTGCTGAGTGTGAGGGCCTGCTGGGTGTCGACGCCCCCTTTTTCCTCGCGGAATTGGGTTCACGACATTCGGGAGGACAACTCTATTCCCTTGCGAGAATTGGGTTCTTGGAGTTTGAAGAGTCGCCACCTAATGATTATAGTGCATTAGGACACTTTAAGGAAGAATTTGAGATGAAGAACCAGAGTTTGGGTAAGGGCTAGAAATTATCTCGAGGGGAAGGTGTTAGGCACCCCTCGAGATCCATTAGTGTGGTTCCCGGCCATGCTATAATTGTGACTTTGAATGCAAACAAACGAGTAAACAAGCAAGCATTGCATATACGAGAAAACTATTACAAACAAGGAGCACAAAAGGTAAAAAAAAGTGCTGAATTTTAAGGAAGGAGCGGTTTAGTTAAAAGTGCAAGTAGGAAGAAGTCAAGTACTTAGTGCGAACAATCTGAAAATTATGTGAAAAACAGAAGTCGAAAGTGCAACAGCTTTTTAAGATTCAGAAAATTGTTAAACTAATAAAAAGGGGGGGGGGGGGTCCTAGGTTTATATATTACATGGATCATTCGCACAACACTGGTACTCAATTGTACGCATAGTGTTATCGTGTAATCATCATCTCCATGTCTACCCTTTCCCACCCCGTTAAGGTATTGGAGCGCGGAATGGTATCGTTTGCCTATCGCATGCTATTACCCGTCCCAAGCTATCAGTCCCGGGGCATTAGGACTTCTAATCCTAAAAGGGGAAGAAAGGGATGGGGGCCTTTATGGAGTTTAAAGGACAAAATTCTAATCGACATTCAAAAACAAGTAACAAGTAGGGGGAATGAACAGACAAACAGGTAAGGCTCACATAAACCCCGTAAATTAGATAACATATAGTTTAGCATGCCTTTACACATACTGGTTTGGTCTTTAAAATTAAAAATTAAGCAGCGAGCGGACTGGTTCGATACATACGTTTAGACAGGAAGCCCACATTAGGCAACTTGGATCCAATTGTCAGAACTTAAGATATTTTAAGCGAGTGATTTAGAAAGTACTGGTTCTAGAAAAGTAGTCTAATGCCGGAAAGTACAGACTGCAGTCAGTTTAGAAATAAGTTTTAAGAGAATCATGAGTATAAACCATAAAAGGAGTTCCAGAGTCAGAAATACTTAAGGAAAGAGTAAATTGCAGAAATATTTTAAAGACAATTTCAGTAAGACCAAAACTTAGTTGGAAAATGTTTAGGCAGAATTTTAGAAAGAAACCATTTCAGAAGAGGTGCTGATTTGAAGAACTCAAATGTATACTGATTCAAAAGAGTTTTGTCAAAAGATTGAGGCTGAAAACATTAAGACATTAGAGACCAGTTAACAGATTGTTATTGCTTAAGAAGAATCAGACGAACTTGATGCGGAATCCTATGATATCTATATACTGATTAAAAGGTCTGTTAAGAACTGGTAAAAGAGGTAATTATTTAATTACCCTAACAGTTTGCCCTAATGCAATATGCATTCCTCTTAGCATGATTTTTATATCACTGATTACATATGAACGTTTAAGGTTCCTTAGGCAGGATTTCTAGATGACTTTATATCATAATCTAAACGTTAAATCCTATAGGCATGGGTATCTAGGTGACTTGAATCAGAAACATCGAAACCATTTTATGTACAGTATTTCTAGATGAAAAAAATTAAAGTCCTAAATTCATGATATTCTACCCTTTATGATGCCAAAAAGTAAAAATCCCTCCCACACTTTTACTAGATTCCCTGAGTTCTATACAATTATTTACACAACCCAATGAATTCAACTGAAATAATAGAAATAACATCAAAAACTAACAGCTAGATCCAAGCATTCCATTTCAATCTTAAAATGTCCAATAATATGTATTACCAAACTCCGGGTCCAGATCTCCCCAAGCCTTCTCATTATCCAGGGTGTTTCAAAGTTTTCAAGAACCTCAGGGGATTCCAGGCATTGCTTACACCCAGGATGCCATTAATGAACAAAATGGGTGCCAATGTGGATAGCTAGCCCTCAGGCATCCAAGTTCAGAGGGAGCCTCAAGGGTCCCAAAGCATGGCTTGCAAGAGAGGGTGCAGACTTATAGCTAGGAGTAAGTGCAAAGTGAAAGGGAATTAGGGGCCATGACAAGTGGTGGTCATACCTAGCCATAAGGTAGGCTGGCACACCCCTGACCACTTGCTAGATGAACAAGTTAGGAGCAGACCTTTTGATGGTCAGACAAAGGTCTGGATAGTGATTAGGACACTATCAGACCTAAGTCAAGGCTCAAGCACATAATGGGGAGAATGGGAAGTGGGAACTGATTGAGTTAAGGAGTTCAATGAACCAGTTCAGGATCATAGACAGCAATATTGGGGTGCTGCTATGCCCTGAACAATAAACTCACATACAAAGGGGTAAAAGGGTAAAGGGGATTCATAGAGTATCAAATTCATGACAAACAATTGATTACACACATAACTTAAATACAGAAATATAAAGGAGAGGGAAACAAATATCAACTAAAGGAAATAGGCAGAATTAACACATGGTTGTTGAGGCATGTAAACTAACTGAGACATACCAGTAGAGAAGCAAAAGAAGTGCAGAAGAAAGTAAAGTAAACATAGGCCACAGCAGCACAAGTATCAAAAGAGAGAGTTTTAAGTGAAATTGAATTGTGAACTCAAATGGTGTTCTGTGTTCGTGTGTGTAGGAAAAGTCTGTGAAAAGCCTCTGTAAAACCCTCCTTTAGTGCAAAAGGGCAGGCCCTTTTATAGTGCAGAAGATGAGTAAGAAAAAGGTAAGAGAATAGTTTTGAAATCAATCACAAGCTGTTTCCCTTTGGTTAAGGGATTTGATTCAAACGGGCAAAAATAAATAAGGAAAGGATTCGTTTTAAAAATCTTTTCTAAAGCAGTGTAATAGGGACAAATACACAGCAGTTTATTTAAGGAAATAGTATAGTAGCACACGGTTTGGACAGAACAAGGAAAGACAATCAATCAACAGCCAGTAAAATCAGGGTTCGAATCTTAGTGTGAATGAATCCAACCAGAAAGGTGAGAAGGGGTTTAATTTAAAGAAAATCAACAGTACAAAACCTTTTAAAAAGGAACTCGGAATGAATCCCAAGCTGGCCAAAGGCCTTTTGAAAGAAGAGAATTTGTCATATAAAAAGCATACAGACATGTGAGACAAGAGAGAGTTGTCGTAAAACTAGCAAGAAATCAGAGTGACCAAGAAGGTTAGGTTCGTAGACTCAGAATGAGCCTGAAAGAGAGTCAAGGGTTCTGAATGGAACCCTAGACCAAACACAAAGTCAAGCCTGCCAAAAAACCCCAAATACTAGGGTTTCTGACTCGAATCAGATGCATAGACGAGAAAACAACAAATAGAACAGGCTCAGTAGTCTCTTTCAGAGACTTATGAGAAAACAAACAGAGAGAGCAGCAAGTTTGAAACACAAGGAATACATTTAGGCAAAACATGGCACTCAAACAAGTTCAGGAGAGAAAAAGTGATACAGGTTTAGGAAAAACAGTAGACGGAGCCTGCTTAGAGTTCAAACAAAGGTCCAGTAAAGGCAAACAAGGATTAGAAGCTTAGTAAAATACAGTAAAGAAACATACGAGATAGACATGTGAAGCATGCTTATAGAGCCCGGTAGAAGAAAGAACAAAACACAAAAAATAGAAGAACATGCATAATATGGCAAAACATAAGAACATAGGAGCAGACATGCGAGGAAAGAACACAAGAACAATGGCATAGACAGACTCACACAAAGAAAAGAAGAAGAAGAAAAGTCAGAAGTCGTTTTAAGATTTTCCGAAAACCCTTAATTGAAACAGACTAATTTTGAAAAGAAAATTGGGGAAAAGCTTTAAAACATTGAATATAGCACAGATCCACCATATATCTAAGTAAATAAAAGAGGAAGGAACCTCGAATAGCCTTAGGGTTTCTCTGAAACAATGAGAAGGCTTGGAAACAGGTCCGATCTCGAGTCGGAAGGGTCAAGAATCAGGCTTTAGAGCTTGAATACACCGGAGCATGGCCGGAGAGGCCAGATCTAAGAAGATCTAAAAGCGAACAATCGAAGTTAGCCTCCTAAACCTCGAACACCCATGGTCTAATGGCGAGGGTGAGTGGGTATAGGCCATCCATGGCCAGGACCGCCATGGATTCCGGTGGAAGTACGGTGAAGAAAAGGTCGGAGACGATTAGGGTTCCGAAGAACCTTCGAGAGAATTTGGGAGAGGGAGAGTATCCAAAGGCGGCTATCAGAAGAGAATGAGGGATTAGGGTAGGGTTATGCGAATAAAAAAGGAAAGGGGTGATCTGGACCGTTGATCAAAATGATCAACGGCCTGGATTAAAAGGTAATCCGGGCGGGTTAGATAAATGGGTTATTGGGTTGGGTTAAGTGGGATTGGTCTGGGTAATTGGGTTTTAAATTGGGGCTGAGATGGAGTGACAAATTGGCTAAAATTGAAATGCAATAAGGCCAAATTGTAAATAGCCAATTTTCCACTTTTAATTTTATAAAAATGGTAATACTGATTTTAAAAACAAATTAAAAGTACTGGATAAATAAGTATTATATAAATATTAATTAAAAAAAATGCTGGGACTAATTATATAAACGTAAAATGTTATAAATCACAAGATGGGCTATAATTGCAATTACATGCAATTTAGCTTTAAAAATACCAAACAAATTTGTAAAAATATATAAAAAATTACCTTAATTATATTTGGTGTAAATATGAGAATAAAATAAGTTATTCACAAAAAAAATAATAATTTTGGGAATAATTATTGGATTTTGTACTGTTAAAATAAGGAAAAATACCAAAACTCTTGGGAATGCTTATATATGCATGTATATGCTATTTTGAGGATATTTTGAGTACATAAAAATACTTAGGGAAAAATTGGGTATCAACAGC